GAAATTGATTATGAGATCTGTATATATGTCAAGTCGGTTGAGGTGTAGCTTCTCATTGCTGAGTTAGACAACCATCATCGTTCTTTAAAGGCGCTTGCGAATCGAGTATCATTCATCTTGAAGTTGAAACTTGACTCTAAAAGCTGTAAAAAATCATGTATGCGAAAAATAATAAATATGATGCTCTTAAGTATGCCTAAAATGCATGCAACATGAATGAGTTATGTTTTAGCTCTTGGATAGGAGTCATGTGTTTTGTCTGCCAATCTGGTCATTGGAATCAATCGTGCCTCATACACTTTTCAAGCTTTGGTTTTACAAACTTTTCATATCTGAGACTATCCTGTTTGAAAATGTTTTTCCTTTTTCTTGTTTTGGGAGGGAAAATGATAAAAATGTTGTAAAATATTGTTCGCAATTGAATCAAATTATAAACATAAGTTCAAAGTATATCAAATGAATCAATAGCTCTTTTAATGCTTTCAGAGTTACATCTTTTTGACAAATGTTCAAATGGATGAGTTGCCTTTAGGTTGGTCTCCTTTCTAAGGTTTCGATAACCCAAAATGTCATTTTTTTAAATATCGCAACATGCTTTGGCATTTTAATTGGATGCGGACAAAATGACGCAACTAGCATTATCGATTACTAGACCTTATATTTCAGTTCTCTGAAATCTTCCATTTGTTCAAGTTTTGTAAGCTCCTCTAGCAAAGGTAGTACAGAAATATGGGTCAAAAAAATGAAATTCTTGAGTGCTCGTGTTTATTTGACTATAACAGGTGTTCCTTAACTCCCTTAGTCTTTTTTTACCGAAAGTTTCTCGCTTAGATAAATTTGATTTACCTCACCGTTATCTGACTAGCTGAATCCATAAAGCCGGGCGTTTAACCAATTGCTTTAGAGGGACAACTTAACATTATAATCAAGTTAACTGAAGGTTTCATCTCATCACAAAGTCTTCGGCCAGACAATAGCAGTGGAGCAAACACCGAATTACCAAGTGTTCAAGCAATGTCATGGTTTGAACGTAATCTATTCATAAGGCCAGGGCTTTCAAGTTTCCTCTATAACCAATTGCCTTAGTGGAATAGCTCAGCTTTACGGATTTAATTTCTTAAGATTGTCAAGAAGAACCTGTTATAGTCTAGGTGTTGTTGAAAGTAAAAAATTTCATCTTTAGAGTTCAATTTTCAAACAACTGACCTAAACTATATTCACTTACTCGACTATTCCATCTGTAAAGATAATGATCATCATTGAACGTCTTAAACAAAAAGTATAGTAATTGTCATATGCAAATGATGTCTCATGTTGTCCGCAACTTATAAAAGGAAAAGGTTACATTGGTTAATTGCAAGAGCAGAGTATAGTGTTTGAGGGTATATTCTGGGTAAGGTCAAAGTCCTTGTTTTAAATCATGTTACTTCATCAAAGATCTATAACTTTAAACCATTTACAGAGCTTCTTAATTCAATTGATATTCAAATAATTGCAAGTTTACAAATGTGATTCATTGCTCGTCATCATTAAAGTAACATAGATTTATTCAAATGTCTTTACAAAAAACTTGAGAAAAAATGAAAAAAAAACAAATTCAAACAGAATACCTCAAATAATGAAATGATCGTTCTCACTTGGATGCCCCCAAGTTATTGAAGTCGATCCAGTTCTGGTTACGCATCTTCTGTACGACTCTCTTGAATGCGTAACAGTTCTCAATAGTGTGCCCTCAGACACCGCCGTGATATTCAGAATGAGCACTCTCATCATACCACTTGGGGTATGGGGGCTTCATGGGTTTCATTGGATATGGTGACACTACGTGGGTGTCAAGAAGTTGTTGATAGAGTTCCTTGTATGTTATAGGATCGAAATGTTCTCATTTTTATGAGACATGTGAATATAATAAAAAAGAGAAAAATAATACGAAATATGCAAGAATGCATGATGCATGCAATGTTCGAGGCATTGATCCAAAAATGTGTCTGTTATTAGAAATAATCCTTATTGGGGAAAAAAGTGTTTTATCTTTTAAGAGACAAAAATATCCTGACAGCTTCTGACATGTTAACTAGTCTTCTGCCTTCGTCTGTCACCGATTGAATAACTTGTCGAACCGCTCTGGCTTCTCTGGATGGACCGTGCAAATGTTGAGTTGCTTTTTGTACTGGCCCAAAAAGTCTCGAATTACTGCATCTCTGGCATTTATCTTTTGTTGAACTTGTTCCCAATGAATACGTCATTGGAGCCCACAATTGATAGGAACTATGTGAAGTTTATTTGTCTGTTTCTTGAATTCGTCAGCAATGGTCTCCAATTCCAGCCATCGTTTTGCCATTGTTGTCTTTGAAGTGACTCCCAAGATCAATAACCTTCATCTTGCCCCTGCAACCTCTGCCAGTCAGTTCTTCAAAGATAGACTTTCATTGTGCTTGATGTAGACCCGGTTCATTCTGAGTCCTTTATAATGCAACAGAGTGATATACCCTTCAATTGTGGGTACCACGTCTTCTGGATTGAATGTGACACATAGTCGCCTTGTAGATTATCCTCTGCATTTTCATCTCTTGTATTACAACCCTTTGTCAATTAATGTAGATTATTCATGTTTAACAAACACATTTTTAGCGGATCAACACCTCTTTTAAATTATACGAATAATGAGAACAAAATGAAAGAGAACAAAAAAATAATAAAAAAATAAAAAGAGTTAGTGAGGTAAATCAAAACAACAATAAAAATGAAAGATCCTACCCCACATGCTTTAATTCGTACCCGGGCATGATCTCTATCATGCATGCTAATTTCAAACAATTCCTAACCACATATTTTGTCTAGTTTGCATGCTTTGAACAAAAAGTAAGGCAGGAAACAAAGCAGTCTAGGGTTTGAAATGAGGTTTTGGGATGGGCTCTAATTCCATGTACTCTCCCGGTTTAGGTTCTAAAAAAGGTACTCGAGTTCTCCTTGTTGATGCCCCCTTGGGCTTGCCAGACCCGTAGTCCCAAGCCCATCATAAGCTTATGTGGACTAAGTTAAACTCGAGAGGATACATCCCCTTATGCCCATACGGGAAATAAATTCACACGAAGACATAAGGTATATGAATCCCGAAGGTTACTTGCTAAGCCCATACGGAGAATAAATTCCCACGAATGCGTCGCTTTTGCCCCCACTTAAAAGGGTTCGGAGCTCGGGTATAGAGCTAGAGATGACAATTTTGAAAAATCTGAAATCATTAAAAAAAACGTTAGTACAACTATTTATTTGAAAAAAATAATCAAAGATAAATAATAAGAATCGAATAAATAAATTAAAATTTAAACTTGTAATTTTCGCTAAAAAAGACAACCGGAAATTAATTTCGGCCTGACTCACTTACCTATCCCCAGCGGAGTCGCCAAGCTGTCGGAACCGTCTTTCGGTTGGGCCTCGGAATTGGGCTTCAACTTGGAAAAATGGATTAGGAGTCGCCACCGATCATTTTAAATTGATATTTAGGTAGTTCAGACACCATCTTACCTGATATGTGTTTTCAGAAATATATCAGGTTCGGGAGTCGGTTACGGTCAAAGAAAGATTAGTACCATTGAACTACCCTTTCGGTACCAATTAATTTGTCGGTTGTCTTAATTGCGAAAATTGAAAATTTTTAATTAAAATTTAAAAACCCGATTCGAACTACTTACCTTTGATCAATTGCAATTTCTCTAAAAAATGTCGAAAAAATATTAGACCGTAAATAATAAATAAATGTTAAATGAATTAAAAGAAAGAAAAAAATGAATGAAATAAAAAAATAAAAATAAAAGAAGTAAAAAAATGAATAAATAAATAAATAAAAATAAAAAGTTAAATCTTAAAAATAATATAATAAAAACAACTAAAAGATAAACAAAAATAATACTAATTAAAAATAATGATAAAAAATAATAAAGTGAAAATTTAGAGGAGTAATCAATATACATGAAGTGACCAAATTAAAAAAAAATGAGTACCATATATGAAAATACGTAACTCCTGGATGACCTGTGTGTTAATTAGACCAAAAACTTTCCAAAGGCACTAAAATCCCTAACTCACGCGTGTTTTCATCTTCCTCACCTCTGTTTCTTCTTCAGCATGGCTCTACCTTTTCGTTTCCTTCAATCAAAATGGTAAAGACTTTTCCTTTCTTTGTATTCCTTTTCTGATATTGATGCATGCAATATATTTTCGAGTTTCTTCCTTCGAAGGCTTCGGATTTCCCGAATGGCTTGCACCCTTGTTTCGAATGCTTCCCCCCTATGTTTTTTTGCTTTTGCTTTCACCCCTCTCGCTGTGTATTTCGTATCCATTTATAGCCTAGAACTTTGCTAATTTTAGAGAGTTTCCTTTGAACTCAAATGCTTGGTTTGTTATTGATAGAGTCCTATTGAGACTAAAACTTGCTGACTTGGTGATGTTGGTGCCGTGAACTTCGGGGGATGTTGTTGGGCGAAAAGTAGTATCTACATGATTAAATAGATAAAAATGGGGTTAAAAAGTCATTCTACCAAAATTTTTATATGTATTAAAACTCGTCCCAAGAAGAATGGCCAAGGAAGCATAGCGCACTGGACTTTGGAATACGAAATGCTGCATGAGGCCATCGGACACCCGGAGACTCTGCGTCAGTTCTGTATCCAACTTACCGGCGATATGGGTGGTCACCTCGTCAATGAAAAATAAGTTGACTATTATTAAATGAAAATTCCCCTGTTGAATCGTGTGCTGTTTCTATTATTAATCTTTAACTACTGATCTAAGAATAAAAGTGGGATCTTCGTCGTGTTTAACAAGGCTGTAAGAGTCGGACCGCGCAGCTTTCTGTGTTTCTATGTATGTTTTCTGCTTTTATAAAAGGTGGTTAATGATAATAATAATTAAATAATTTCTTATTATTTCCAAAATGAAGAAACAACACTATTATAATATATAGTCTTCAATATACATTGAAATACAACCCCTGTATATGTCACAAAATATATAGATATATATACTATGCTACAAACTGAAGCTCAACCCATTTTCCCATCTTTGGCATACTTATCGACCTGAGAAATGTCAAGGAATTTATCCATTCCACTTGCCAACAGAAACCTGAAAATGCTCCACAATATTAATAACAGAGAAAGCGAAAAATCAACACAACAGATGATTTGGGTAAATTAATGTCTGCCTTACTTGTCTCTGAGAACTCTTGTCATCTGTAGACAGCCTCCGGGAACCAACGATTGCATGTTTATAGCTATGTTGGGGTTGTGGATACTCTGCCTTATGTGTACCCAACCAATTTCTTCGTCTTCCTCATTTGAAACTTTAGCCCTGACATCAAAAACAGAACCATGGTTCAGACAAAACATCTTGAATGTTATAACAAGGTTTATTATTTATTTGTGTTGCAGTACCTGTACATGTGAGCGTCAATGGCAGTCGGACTGTCATTCGAGTCGACCAGGCAGCCTTCACTTACCCAGCAATCTCCACAAGAGTCTAATTCCCATCCTTCAAGCTGACCTTCCTGCAAGCAATCAACTATTTTCAGATGAAGTTTGAGTTTATGTTCTTTTTATTTATTGATTATATGATTCAGAGTAATCTGATTGACAATATAGGTACCTCGATGTAGGATCGGAATGCTTCAATTAGCTCAGTACCTCTTTCCTTTGCATATTTAGCCTCAGAGATGATATTCATCCGAAGCTCGACGGATTCCAATGGCTCTTCGAGATCTTTTATCAGACTGCCTATTCCTTCATTTGACCCCTCAAGTTTCATGCGTACCATTTCAATGATGATTTTCACTACCATGTAAGCCCCTATAGGAATTGAAAATAAAAAACCTTAGATTAATTCAACACTGTAAACCAATTTGAAAGCTCATTAAGAAACAAAAGACCGACCGTCGTCGAGGAAATAGTTCTCTTTGAGTGCACCATGTCCTGAAGTTTCCATCATGAGATGTGTTTCGATGCCATCCTCGTTCAAGTGAACCCCCTTATCGATAACATTCCGGTAACCGACGCGGTACAAGCAATGTTGACCTCCTCTGTCGGTGATAAACCTTGTGAGTGCCATGCTCGTACGGGCATCAGTAACAATGGTGGTACCTGGATGTTCTTTCAAAACAATGGCGGACATAAGTGCTATAAGCTTGTCACCGTTGATGGGGTTGCCTTTGTTGTCAACCACACCGCTGCGGTCTACATCGGTGTCAAAAACAATCCCGAGATCAGCTGAGTTTTTAAGCACGGCGGCTCGGGTTAATGCCATTGCAGTATTGTCTTCGGGATTGGGGATGTGATTAGGGAACATCCCATCAGGGTTGAGGTGTAGAGAACCAAATGTATCCGCGCCAAGCTTGTCTAACACATCCCATGTGAAGAAACCTCCTGACCCATTCCCAGCATTTACAATTATCTGTAAACTAGGTCATATGTCAAGTCAAGTTCCTTCAAAACAATGTTTAAAATACTCTTATTCGTTATTTTCATTTATCTAACTATCTTAAAAAAATTTACACGATTAAAATCAGCTGTCTATTTTTACTCATTTAACTATCTTAACTCGAAAATTTATTGACCACAAGAAAACTTGGTATGCTTTTGGATAAGCTAACAGCTTAACAAGCACCATATATTTTATACTACGATATTTCCTCCTACTTCAAATTGGATGCAAAAGAACAGTGAGAACCCAATAGATTTTCAAAGGAAAATGTAATATTTAATGTAGGAAAGTACATGAGAAGATAGGCAATAAAACCTGAAATCCTTCGAGTGGAGTGTCATAGTGAATCGGATGGTTCACTCTCTCTATGATAATGTTCCGAAGGTGCTTTGCGTAAGCCCTCATGAAATCAACCTTTTTGGGACGAGAGCTGAGCATCGTCGACACTTTCGTGAGCCTGTTGGCGTACTTACGGGCAGCTTTGTCGCATATCTCTTCCACTTCCGGCGACGTTAGACCGCCCTTCTTAGTGAAAAATTTCAGACCATTGCGAGTGTAAGGTAAGTGAGAAGCAGTCATCTGCAATACATCAACATTCAATGTTTTCATCTTTTGTCATATGAAAGCATCGTTTTATAGTTAAAATTTGGCTCGAGTAGTTTTCTACCATTATCGAAGCATCGTAAGCAAATGGCGGAAGCAAAGTGCTCATAAAACAAGCTGGTGTAGTGGCTAGCCCCATGTCAAACGTCGAGCAACCGGCTCGAGCAAGGCCTGCGAACACTGCTGCACTGAGAGATGCGCCGGATACTCTAGGGTCTTTGCCAAGTGAAACTTTAACATCTTCTACCGGTCGTCCTCGTTCTTTCTCCAAGGCCCTGATAACCCACTCACCGAAGCTCTGGCCAATGGCTTCCACGGCCGGTGGGGTAAGGTCCACGGCTCGACCCTTTTCGCCTTCCAATGCAACCCCTCGAACGTCGGACCCGTTCTGGAGTCTTCTAATCCTGTCCATCTCTTCATCAACGACCACTTCATTATAATTCACGATGCTGGAAGATTTAACGCTTACAACTATGTTTGACCTCGACGAAAATGAGAATCTCAACGTTTTGTGGAGTGCAGTTTTTGCTGGTGACGATGAGAAACTGGCTCTTGGACCATTTCCTCGAAAGGGTATCAAGGATGTTGAAGTGGAAGCCATGGAATTCGCTCTGGGTTTGCTTGAAAAATATCTTTTGGAACGATGGATTTGGGGAAAGATAAGATATTAATCCCCTTAAACGAATGAACTATAACCTTACGATCGAATGCAGTTTCAATCCAGGAAAGAACAAAAAAATATCTTGATTTTTTGCCTTGTTTTTATTTGATTCATAGCATCACTTCGCTTCTTTGCCGTGTTTTGCATGAAATGATATTTCTCTCACAAAACAACAGAATATTCTTTTCATGGTGCTGTTGCGATTCAATATTGTAAGAAAAATTCAAATATCTGCCAAGCAGCCAAAGCATAAACATATTGTATTGATAGGATTTTTTAAAAACTTAATATATATATATACACGAAATATCGATTAAAACGGTATAAAACTTAAAAAATTTAAATAATTAGATGAATAAAATATATATAAAAAGAGCAATGTAATGTTATCAGGTCAGTTAAAGCGTATTGTTGATTTTTTTTTTATCTTTCATATTATTTATTTTGAACAGTTCCTACCTAGAAGAAGGGGAAAGTTGCAAACTGAGAGCTTCTTGCTCAGAGATTGTTAACATCTTTCAAATTTATTTTATAATCGATATTTATAATTTATGGTTACTTCTTCGAATAGTTTATCTTCAATATTCAAACCTAAATCATATAAAAATTTAAGGCTTATTCAACTAATAATAACCTTACATTTCAATAAAATATTTAAAATTAATTTTAAACATTTTATTACTCTAATAACAATAATTCAAAAATATTATCAATTTAGATCTATTAATTGTATCGTAAAATTAGAATAAATTTAGTGTGTTATTAGACCTTGAAATTCATCTCTAAGCATTTTTGTTTTTTTATTAGATCTTCAAGCCTTTTTTTTCACAAGATCTTCAAGCCTTGTGATTGGAGCGATATAGTGATGTAGGATGTTGCAAATGTAAGGTTCTTGATTCGAGCCTACTTAAATATGAGCCAATTTGTAAAGCCGGACAGCTTGAATTGTTAGCCTGTACATAAAAGGCCCAATTTCGTCTCTTTCTTCTGTTTACACAGTATATCCTTTGTATTTGGTCGTCTTCCCCATGGTGTATCCAGTTGAGATAACCAAAACTGCCCTTCTTTTCTACAATCTGCCATCACCCATGTTCGTGACTCGGTAAACAAGAATCCAAAGGCTCAACTGACCAGCCTTTTTGCGGACAGCTGAGCATATAGAGATACATGCCACTACAAATCTTCGATTACGTATGTACCGACAAGCCAGTTGTGGGTTCTATGAGTGGCCCAACCCAATGATACATATTTTTGTAATGAGATACACTAAAGAAAATTATACACCACTCAAAAACAACCCTATCCTTTTATCTATGTTCAAAAATTTTAATAATTGTTTGGTACAATACAAACATTAGGCTCATTTATTCAATATTTATTTTGGTCTTTATTTTCTCTGAGCATATTAGAACTTCAAGTTTTATTTAGGGATAAAATCTCTTGATTAGATAGAAACTATTAATTAACTAACAGTCAACGCTTATCGCTGGCGTGATAAGTCTTATGTGTCTAAAGTGATTAAATGTCACAAATCACATGTATAAATCGATGATGCGACGCATGTAATGTGTCTAAAGTGATGATTTGACGTTACATGTCTAAAGTGGTGATATGACACATGTCACGGGTCTAATTAAAGTGATGACATGACAAGTGATGATGTGGTAATGTGATGTGTCTAAAGTGATGGTGTGGCGCATGTCATGTGTCTAAAATAATGACAGAAACATCAAGTGATCACTTCAGATACATAGTACTTGCCACATTATAAACAAGTGTCGACCGTTATTCAATTAATTAACAATATTCATCTAACTATAAGAATTTTGTCCTAATATGAAACGTTAGAGTTAAAATACTTCAAAAAATGTATAAAAATTAAAGTGATTATTTTATCAAATATTAAAGATAAATTTTATCATTATGCCTAATTGTTTAGATGGATTATAGGACTTCTTCTATTCCATGGTAGAATTGGATGTTGGAAAAATAATTGAATGAATTGATGTTATTTATAACTAATTAATAATAAGTCATGTAACTTGGCGAATAAACTTAATTTTTGGTTTAAAGTCATCCATTCAATCATACTTATTCAATAATTCTCTTCATGAAAAGATTAAATCATTTCATGAAAAGGTTAAGCATTTTCATCAAAATGATAAGTCATTTACTCGAAAGGATAAGTTCTTTAATCGAAAGGTTGAGTTTTTCATCGAAAGGTTAAGTTTTTTCATCGAAAGGTCTTAACCCTTCAATACATTTCCTCCTCTATAAATAGGCTAGTTAAGGCACAAATCCTAGAAAAAAAACTTTGAGACATATCTCACAACGTTGAATTAGGAAAACACTCAGAAAATTCCTTCCAAATTCGTTATTTTCGGTGATAGAGAAAGGCAAGATTGTGCTCAACTGATCACTACGATTGTGCTTACTTTTGTGGTCGTTTCTTGTATCCTGGGAGACCGACGTCCAACGTTACTCAAAGCACCGAGGGGTGGACGAATATGTCTTAAGAAAATTGTTCATACAAACCTCAATAAAAACTTCTTTTTATGTATTTCTGTAACACCCCAACCCGTACCCGACCCGGATACGAGTCCGAGAAGTCACATTGACATTTCAAAACCTTTATTCTTGTAAAATAACTGAACATTTGAACTTATATTAAGAAAATACGATCATATATTGTTCAATTGTGTTTGGTATAAAATTTTGAGATAAAAACATATTTATGAACAGTGAAATACGATATGAATAGTACCGTGAACAATAATGAACAGTGCATCGATGCATTGCTACAGTGCATCGATGCACCAAAATTTCGAAGCAAAATTGTGCATCGATGCACTACTACAGTGACTTTTGTAAAACGTTCATAAAACTCGTAAAAATTTAACCGTTCATTACTATATAATTGTCATTTAAATAAACACTTTTAAAACATTACAAAACTCAATCGTATATTCAAAATCGATTAGAATATATCGGATTTAATCATTTATTTACATGCCAACAACTTTCCTTATTACAAAATACATACTATACATTTCTTTTCTGATCTGATCTTTGGAAAGGAGAAATTGACATGTCTTGCACAACTTTTACCAATCTTCCTCTTCTCGGAACCTACGCGTAAAACAATCACACGCTAAGTCGTTGACTTAGTGAGGCATATAAATCATGTAATAAAAATAATGCATTTCATATCCATATGAATATATCATCTACTCATTTAATCATGTCACATATGATTCCATGTAAATATTAATAGCATGATAATGTAAAATGCAAACACTTTTATACCTTTTTGTAAGCCCATGTACATTACTGAGAACTCAAGGTATTCGAGTACATTGAGGTTGTGCACTATGCTGTCACCACAGCTCGTATGAGGTCCCACTAGGGGCTATGAAATTTAAAATGACCACTCCTTAAGAACCATATACATATTCCAGTGGATCAAATCTGTGTCAAAAGACCCTGTAAATGTTCCAAATGATACATATATGTAACACCCCAAACCGTATCCGACCCGGATACGAATCTGAGGTGTCACATTGACCTTTTAAAACATGTACCTTTATAAAATAGTGAGTAATTTAAAACTTTTATAACATATAAATGACTAATTTACATAAAAGACATTTTCATTATTACAAAACCAATCAGAGCGTGTATATTTCACTTATTTATTTACATATAACTATTCGAAACATTTATAAAACGGTTCATAGCTTAAACAATATATTCTTTTGAAAATATGCCAACTAGAACTTTATATACTAAAATACATATTATTCACCTCTTTTCTGATATGACCTTTAGTAAGGAGAACTGACTTGTCTTGCTCCACATTGCTCTTTACTCTTCTCGAAACCTACGTGTAAATCACTTACACGCTAAGTCAAAGACTTAGTGAGGCATATAAACATATAAGGTAAACGGTAACTAATAATCATACCTAAACAATTACTACTATCATTTCATACAACTCATACTTTTACATGTAACAAATATATGCATACATATATGTCATTATCATTCATATCTCTTATCTAATGTTCCTATGATCTCTTATGTCCATATCATATAACATATACCATAACCAATTGCACATATACATATCATGTCATGTAAACCATATATATATATATACTATCATAAAACACGTACACCCAAGCAACTATATTATCATCTTTATTTCTTTCTTATTTTATCACTATCATTGATTACTTTCATCATATGGTCTTATAAGTTACCATTTGTACAATCAATATCACACATGAAATTCCACAAGGAAACAAACATATTATCATATCACTTTATTAATATTATCTATTTAATAGCCCATGATACACATGTGAGAACTAAAGATATGCGAGTACATAGAGGTTGTGCACTAATGCTGTCACCACAACTCATATAATTGCACCGAAGTGCCACGTAGAATTGAACCAGAGTACCGCGTAGAATTGCACCGTAGTGCCATATAATAATGTCCATAAGGACCACATATCATTCCTTAAGAATCATATACATATACTAGGGATCAAGTATGTGTCTCACCAGACTTCACACATGTTCCAAAGAATACATATATGTCCCGAAGGACCACATATCATTCCTTAAGAATCATATACATATGCCAAGGATCAAGTATGTGTCTCACCAGACTTCACACATGTTCCAAAGAATACATATATGTCCCGAAGGACCACATAGACCATCGACTCTTGGCATGCCAACTATACCCCTAGCTCTCATGACACATAACATGGGCATTATCTTTTATATCCTTTTACATATTCATGTAACCATATCATATATTCATATAAGTTCATGGTTTCATTCACATATACATGTAATCACGTAGTTCATGTCAATTCTCATATGAGTTCATATTCATATAAACATAGGATTCACCCTCATGTATCACATATACTTTCTCTTTCATATGGCTCATAACCTTTCTTATGTGTTCATATGACATGTAAATCATTGTCATCTTATCACATAAACATATCATCTTACAATACATACAAAAACACATCAATACCTATATTCACATATACCTATC